TCAGAATAAATGCTACTTTCCAAGGGATTCACTGAATCTGTCGTCTTATTAATCTTCATTAAGCAAGTGTAAGCTTGGCCAAGAAAAAATACAAAAAAAACACAAAAAAAACAGACTTCGAGGAGTGACAGTACAAAGAAATTTTTACAGAATGTGTGATATACATATTACACACTATATACATACTACACTCCAATGTGTGGATCATCTTCGAGTATTTCCATTGCACCTTTTTACATTTCACTGCACTTCAGATAACAAACATTTAAACAAACCAACCTGTGAGCTTGTCTCCAAATTCAAAATACAGGTTACCAAATGAAATTCTGTATTTTTTGTATTTCCATCCCCAATATCAACAATGTAACAAGAAGTTTACACTCAAACTTCTAATCTTTAAAGTAAAATATACAGACAAGAGAACTACCTATAAAATAAAACTTAAATGGAATATTAAGGACGGTCTGAAAGAACTCTTAGGAGGAAACCATAAAAGAACAAGCATTCCGGTTGCTGAAAGAATGTTATTGACAGTGGTTAACAGGCTATGTTCCCCCAACAACAAAGGGGTGGAGGGCATGCACGCGCATTATATAATATGAATGCGCTATTGTTAGTCTGTATTTTTAAGTTTAATGTCTTTCTTATATTAAGTAGAAGGTTTTAAAAGTTTTAATATAGTCTTTCCACATGAAACTCCTTGTACCCCACCTTAGAGGCCCTAATACTTACAATACTCATGATTTCTAATCTCCTCTAGTCCCAGACATAAAGGAACAAAATAAATATAAAAATTTATATTTATATATAAAAAAGTTTTTCCTAATATAAAATGTTTTAAATGAACTATCATTAATAGGAATCATCATTTTTTCCACCAAAGGGTCAAATTCCCAGCTCCACATTTCCCATTCCTAAACTTTGTTTGCAATGAGGATTCATAAATATTTGGGCTGTGTGCTCCTTTTTAAAGCAAGAAGCAATGACACCAGGTGTAAAGGCAGTAGTGTCACACAATCAAGACAATGAGACAGGTATTTATGGTTGGCCATTCATTAAACAGCTCTTTCCAGACTTGACTCAATGAGACCTGTTAATTCCACCCATACTGTGCTTACCCTCCTCTGACTCCTGAAACTTCTTGCGTATGCATGAAAAGCCAAGGGTCTTGAGAAACAGCAAGTCCCCTCTGTGTACTCATAACCAAATTTTTATGAAGCACAAATTAAGCTCACTGCTTGAAACTTATAGACCACATAACAAAAACCACAAAAAGGAAACTAAGTCCAGTAAGAGTAGCAAATATTTTTGTTACAATATTTTTTATTGGGTTACCCCTAGCTGCAAATTTCTTCCCCAGTTTTAGCTCTCTCCAGCGCAAATTTCTTCTCAGACAGCAGGTCACGAGACTCTGGGTTTAAACACCGCCTCAGTGCTATTGGCCACTGCCTAAGAGTGCTCTTCCACTTCACCCACTGACAAGCTGGATCAAAACAACCCCAGCTGGGTCCCCTTCAGCCTTCTGAAGCAACCCCTCTAGAGCGCTCCTTGGCCTTTTATAGTGGAGGCATGTGATGAGAGTATCTGCACCAGCTGTTTCTAATTACCTCTCAAGCTGGGGCGAATGACTCAGCAACCCAACTTTTTAAAGAGTCATCCTACCTTGTTAATCAACCAACATACTGAACAATAGTAAACCACTTGACAGAACCATAGGTTAAACAGCAATACAAGATTCACTACACCAAAGCCACCCTACTCCAAGCTGACTCACCAGGAGCCTTTCTTCCCTAACCTTCCTTAAGATGTCCAAAGGCAGAAGTGGCAAGTGCCTTCAAGCCAAGCCCAGCCCAGCCCTTGCACCACTACCCAAAGACCAGGAAAAAGCAAGCCTCTTCCCATTTCTCTGCTTGGCTATGTGAAGCGCTCAAGTGCTCTGCCACTAACACATCTGGGATTTCCACCCTTTATCCTTCTGAACTGCATTCAATACAAACCCTCTGATGTAAAGCGTGTTCAAATATGTGACCAAATTCCCACAGCATCCTCCATGGGTAACAGTCCATACCCCTATACAATTTTCCAAAAAGCAAAGCATCCTACAAAACATTCTTTGTTCCTCCAAGCGTGACACTGTAGCTCGCTTTCCCCATACACGTTCTTTCACAATTACTACTACACTTTACCTGGAATCAAAACAAGTTTAACGCAGAAGCCTCACTCCATAAAAGCATTCCGCACAATTCTACTCAATGACATGAAACTGCCGTGTAAGAATGAGGAAGCAACGGCACTCGTGTTACATTACACGAGCACAAAGCTGGTGTCTCCAGAATCAACGCCCACTCTCACCATATTGTGCGAGGCTTAATTACAACGCGTGGGCAAAACTCCAACAAAGGGAGTCCTGGGATCTCCGGTCCCCAAAACCAGTCTTCGCTAAATCCATCTCAGTACGGTGGCCTTCTCTCCCCAGGCACAAACTCGGCTTTTCTTACGCGATTCCACGCGCGACAGGCACCAGGCTGAGTAGACGCGAGGCTGGGCATAGCGGTGGGAGGCGGCGGAGGACAATACGGGGCCCCAGCCGCGAGGGCGGTGCTGATGTGTCACAGCCCGGGCGGGCCGCGGGCGAGGGGCTGGGCTGGCGCCCGAGGGCGGGGAGCGGGGGTGGGGCAGGGACCCCGCGGCCCCCAGTCCCCGCCCGCCCCGGGTAAAGTACGGCGCGCGCGGGTAAACAGCAGCTCCTGCGGTGCAGGGGGTTCGGGCGCCGACGGGACGCCCCTTCCGGCGTCGCGGCCCCTTCCAGAATCCCGGCCGCCAGCGCCCCCCACGAGCCCCGCTACGAGCCCCCCGCGCCCCGCCCAGCCCAGAAAGAGCCGCCCCCGGCCCGCCCGCGCCTCCCCCGGACCTGTCCGCGGGCCTCCCCTCACAGGCCCGCGGCCCTGACCGAGCCAACCCTCCCGGAGAAGGGCCGGCGGGACTGCCGAGCCACTCACCGGAGCTGAGGCGAGGCGCGGCGCGGCCCGACTGACTGCAGCGAGAGCGCCTGGCGGGCGGCGAGGGCAGCGGTCAGGTGACTCACTCCTTCCGCGCGGCCAGCCGCCCCCTCCCTTCTGCGCCGCTCTGCTGCCACCACCTCGCGGCGCCAAAACCCCGCCCGCCCGCTGGAGGCCCCGCCCCCGCCGCCGAAGCCCCGCCCCGCCGCCCTCGAGGCCTCTGGCAGCGAACTAGCTAGCGCAATAGCGCGGGCTGGGGTCGCCGCGGCCGGAAGCCCGCGCAGAGGGATTGCAGGGTCAGGTCGTAAGGGGCGGGGCGGGCCTCGGGGAGGCGGGGGTGGGGTCCCCGGACCTCCGCGCGTGGCACAGCCCGCAGTCTGAACTGACTCCCACTCCAGGACCACCTCTCCTCTACCTTCTGAGGGCAGAACAGAAAGGCCGAGCTCCTCCTCGCCCCGGGAGCTGCAGGACGCCCTAATTCAGCCGAGTCGTCGCGTGCCCGGGTGCCCGCGGATAGCAGGAGAGAGGACGGGCGCTGGCCCCACAGGGGTCGCTTTACCCCTTGAAGAGCTCCTCGTTGCCTGCCCTGGAGGTGGCGGGCGCCCAGGTTCGCAGGGTACTTGAGCTTGCTGGTTGGGATGTATCAAGTGCGTCCAGGGTTTTGTGGAGCGCGTCTAGCAGTTGCTCTACTTCTTACTGACATGAAACAAGGGCCCCCACGACAGGTGTTCCCTTTTCGCTGTCGCTGCCAGGAAGCTTCCAGCCAGGTTCAGCGCCCAGTGGTGTCAGCCGGCCCATCTCGAGCCTTGGTTCCGCTGTCATCTTCTGGTGCTTATTCTGGTATTTATCCAACTATCAATTTTGAAATTATGTTCCCAAGCCATTTAACACCTCTGGAGTTCAAAGCAGTGAGTGTCAGCGGAGAGGGATGCACGCGCAGCGGAGGGGACTGTGCACGCCAACCCCACGAGAGTTCCTGCGGAGATGGCACGGACCTTGACGTCTGTAGCCAAAGGACGATTTGTGTGAAGGGATTTTATTGTTAGCTTTGGAGCCAGTAACAAGAAGACAGCCGTGGAGTTCCCGGGGCAAAAAGGATACCAAGATAATAATTCAGGTATTATCGCTAACATGACTGCATTTGCACCCACAGGCTGTGGGACTTGAGGACGTTTGAGTTACATCCCAAATACATGAGAAAATCACGTAAGTGAAGTTGGATGGGAGTGCGAGGGGTGAAGTGATACATTATGACCTAGAATTAAGGGAGGCTTCCGTCTTAATTGGGGAGAGCGGAACCCAGCGGTCTAGATAGGGTCCAGAGGTGGGAGGTACCTCGCATCTCGGGCTGCCTCAGTTCTTGGTGGGAGTGCAGATATTTAGTGAAACATGAGCAAAGGACATTTGGAAATAAACCATGAAAGAAGGATTGAAGTTCTTACAGACACATGAGAGCGCCCGAGGCTTTATTCTCCTTCCACCCTGAGCCAGTGGAATTACAGTCTTTCTTTTTTCTACACCTATGCAGTTTTTTCTAGGGGAAGATCAGACCCTCCTCTTTGGGAGGAACTCCTTCTTCTTTAGATAATAGCCGTGACATTTTCTAGCCTGAAAATTATGATGTATGCCCTGACATGTTTAATTATTTGAGAAGCTCTCACAAAGGTATACCAATGTGCTGAGAGTATCAAGGCAAGTGGGTAAGAATATCTGGGTAAGCTTCAATTTGGGTAAGAATATCTGGTTTGCTTGTTAAAATGCAGATTCTGGCCGGGAGCAGTGGCTCATGCCTGTAATCTCAGCACTTTGGGAGGCCGAGGCGGGCGGATCGCAAGATGAGGAGATCAAGACCATCCTAGCCAACATGGTGAAACCCCGTTTCTACTAAAATACAAAAAATTAGCCGGGCGTGATGGCGCGCACCTGTAGTCTCAGCCACTCAGGAGGCTGACACAGGGGAATCGCTTGAACCTAGTGGGTGGAGGTTGCAGTGAGCCGAGATCGCGCCACTGCACTCACTCCAGCCTGGCGACAGAGCAAGACTCCGTCTCAAAAAAAAAAAAAAGTTTCCTGGGTCCCACCTCCAAAAGATGCTAATTTTGTAGATCTGAGTAGGACCTAAGGATCTGCATTTTTAATACTGAAGCGTGTGGCCTTCAAGCTTGTGGCATGTAGTAGGGACAGGATGAAAAATGAAACTGGAGAATGAAATGAAACCGAGTCAGTATGAGAAGGGCCTCATGCACAGCACCTGGAGTTTGGACTTTATCCCGTGGTCTGTAATAAGTGAGTAGAGGTTTTTAAGTCGTGTGGTTGTTTTTAAAAGCTAATTCTAGTATTGAGAAGGAATGGGAGTGGAAACATGGTAGGTTGAATGAAGGAATGACTGAATGATGATGCAGTAAAATAGTGAAAGATGTGGCACTTTGTTTTCAGTATTCTCTTGCTTTGAACCAAAACCACTTAGAATATATTTCTTTTAAAACCTGAATATCAGTGTAAATATTCACAAACAACTGTATGTTCTGACCTATGTCTTTTGGACTTCCAGAGTTAGCATTAACATTATCAGCTGCCAGGCCAACAAAACCTTGAGTAATCCTACTATACTCAGAATCAAGAAAAGTGGCTACATCATTGGTCAACTTTGAAGGACATCGGCCTCAAGATCTTTTACACTAATTCATACATTTATTGAAATATATTACTAAAACAGATTTTTAAAAATTATCTTAAGGTTATAATGAGACATAGTGCTTCTACCCAATTCCTATTGGAAAAAAAAAAGGTTAAGATTTGGGGACCAAGAAAAAAAATTGTTGTTTTTTGTTTTTTTTTGGAGATGGTGTCTTTCTCTGTCACGCAGGCTGGAGTGCAGTGGCATGATTTCGTCTCACTGCAACCTCTGCCTCCCAGATTCAAGCGATTCTCCTGCCTCAGCCTCCTGAGTAGCTGGAATTACAGGCACCTGCCACCAGGCCCAGCTAATTTTTATATTTTTAGTAAAGACGCGGTTTCACCATGTTGGCCAGGCTGATCTCAAACTCCCGACCTCAAATGATCCACCTGCCTTGGCCTCCCAAAGTGCTGGGATTACAGGCATGAGCTACTACTCCCAGCTGATTGCTTTCAATTGGTATTGATAATAGTTTGAAACTGGGACAAGTAATCTAGTGTTGTGGTCTTTCTGCTCCTTAGCTCAGGTAGGTCCAAGTTCTTGTCTCACAACTAGGAAAAATTAGGCACACAGACACCGGAGAGTGAGTGGAGTGGAATTGATTAAAGGAAAGGAAAGTTCTCAGCAAAGAGGGAATGCTGGGATTGGTTCCCTTACCCAAAAGTGGGAAAATCACCTCTCGTGTGACTGAGCCTGGGGCTTTTATCCACTCAGAATGGGGAGTGCATACTGATTGGTTTGTGAGTTTGCAAAAAAAACGTTTAAGCGAAGACACCACTCAAAGGCAGGCACGACAGTGTAGAAAACCAATTAGAAAGGGTAGGTATATGTAAAATAGGTGAAGGGTGGGGGTCAGAGGAAAGCGTGCCAAACAGGAAGACAAGTTCTCAATCTGGTCTGAGAATTTAACTTGTAGCTTGGCTTTCAGGCTTTAAACTGTCTTTAGCTTGGATGTGAGGTTTCACTGGGGACCTGCCTCTATCTGCCTAGGTATTTGACTGCCTCCTGTTGCTATCACTAGTAGCACAACAAAGATTTTTGCTACTGTTTCACAGTGATTTGCAATCAGTGCTTTTTTTTGGTCATGTAGTTTTGTTTTTAGTGCATTATTCTTTAGGAAAATGTATCCATGAAGCTTGGGCATCACAGCTTACTGCTATGTCCTTGATTTATACTTCTCATTGACTGTGAGAAGTGATGGCTAGTTTTTCTGCTGTGAGCAGGTTTTGTGATATACAATACCGTTCGCAAGATGTTATATATGTGCATTGTCACATTTCTTTCAAAAATGATATTTCCGATTTTTCCAAACATACATATCTTCTTTCTGGCCATCATACTGATTTTATTACCAAAATAAAATCTTATTAATTTAACTCTGAAAACAATTTAAATAACTATAAGCCACCAGTAGGGAATGAGTTTTAATAAAACCTAGATATATACACCATCATTTTCTCCTCTAATAGCAGGTTGCCTTGCCTGACCCTCAAAAATAAGGGAGTTAAATCATACAAATAGGTGACATGTTCATGGCTATAAGGAACACCATAGCATAATATTTGGACAATAAAACATAATACATATCCTGGAAAAACTTTGATGTGTAGTCAGTGTAACCCTTCTCCCCTGTCCTCCTCCCTAACCGCAGGAAACATCCACACATCCACATTTATTGCCTACCCACCTTTGGTTCTGAATCCTCATTTCCACAGATGCAACATGACATCTATAACCCCTACAAATCTGCATACCCTTCCAGCCTTCCCAGAACTTCACTCCCTCCATCTTCATCACCTTAGCTCCTTTTAAGTATTCACTCGCTAAGTCAAGAAAATTATTGGAGGGGGGCAGGGCAAAAAAACTAGGCTTTAAACTGTGGGGGAGTACCCAGATAAAACAAACACAAGTCTCCCCACTTGAAAAACTGCTCTTTGACACCTGTACGCTAAGATGTGATTATGGATTAAAGTCACAGCACTCCTGCCCCCCCGATTGGAAGGTTTTATGGAAAATGAACGTATTTTATTAGAAGACATTGAAAACTTCCTGGAGCAGATGAGTAAACACACCCTCGTGTTTACCTGATAACTGAAATCAAAGACGAGGTGTAGCCTTTGGTTTGAAATGTTACAAAGTCTAAGATCAACATAAAGGCAGAAAAATGGAAAGGAAATAGCCAGTTTTGAAGCAGAAGAACTCAGTGGGATGGGGCCAAATCAGTGAAAGAGGTGCTGCTCAGATACCAAATATCATGACAACCAAAGTGGCCCAAACACCCAAAAAAAATTGTGCTTCTGAAAACCAGCAGGAGGTTGCAGTGGACTAAAGATGACCACAAAATTTTTATCATTTTTCCCGTCGAGAATGGGAGTTTATTTTTCATCATCTTGAATCTGGCCCTGTGACTGCATAGCCAAGAAGGCAGAAGTGATGCTCTGCCAGTTCTGGTTCTAGTCTTTTAGAAGACTGTCAGCTTCCACTTCCTCTTTCTCCAAATGAGCTCTCTTGGGACACCCTCTCTCAGAACCAAACCACCAGGCATGGGGCATGTGTGGCCTTTTCACTCAGGAGCCCCAGCAACCAGCCAGTACTGAGCATCACGTGCCAGTCACGTGAATGAGCCATCTAGGATGTTCTCTGGTCAAGTCTATACAAAAGAACTTTCCAGTTGAGCCCAGCCAACACAGAATTATGAAATAATAAAATGATTATTGTTGAAAGTCATGAAATTTTGCAGTGTTTTTTTCATATAGCAATAGATAACCAAAATCAAGATTAAATATCAGATTATTAAAATGGAGCATGAAAATGGAGTTAAATTTGTAAGAACCACAACCCCAATGATCATGACTTAGAGGAAAGTTCAGTAAATAAAAAAGAAAATATGTGAGAAAGGCTGTTTCAGTTTAAACCTGTGTCAAGCTCCTAGACCTAAAATGACACTTGAAATTTTCCTCCATTAGAAATTCATTGTGCTACAAATTTTCTCTCATTCTGTTACATATATTTATATAATGAAGTAGAGAAATTATTCTCTCATAAGCTAATGCTGCAAAATGTTTTTATATATATGTATGTGTACATACATATATTTTTAATATTAACATGTATAATAGTTTATATTTAAATGTTTAAGTGTTTTATATATTTATACATTTATCACCATATACACACACACATATGTATACACACACATACACATATACATACATATAAATGCTTGGGGATAGAAAGAATCTTGGATGTAGCCTGAATCTTGGATGTAGCCTGACTGCTCAGAATCTTGGGTATAGCCTGACTGCTCTGCACCCAACTGGAGAGGAGTGAGGGGAGAAGAAAGTTGAGTTCCAGCCAGAAAGGTGACAGAAGACTGCCCAAAGCTTCATGTAATCAATCCCTCAAGCCTGTGGAAAAGTTACTAAACATTTGGTACCAGTGCCTTCCTCCAGAGTCAGTGATGTTTATGCTTGGTACTGAATCAGAGACAGTACCTACAGCACCTTCTGCCATAGTCACACATCTGCAAAGGACAGAAAAATCCAACCTGATAGCTTTGTTCTATGTATTTGTTGGTGTTTACACCAAGGATTGTCGCCTGCAGCTCTTGATCTTTTATTCTGAAAAGTTGTAGTAGTAGTAAAGGCTACTCTATAACATACCTGTTTTAATAAATGTATTCTCAATTTTTTAGTGCATAACTGGCACAATCAAGAGAGGTGCCAATTTTGACTCATGTTTTTACTTCACCTCTTCATATACCACTTCATTGAGCGTCCTCAATCAGGTTCTCATTCAGGTTCAAAATAGAGGCAAATTTTGCCCCCACCCCCACCCCCCACAACCCCCGCCAGGAGATATTGTTATGGGGTGGGTGGTACTAGCCTGTAGCGGGTAGAGGCCAGAGATGCTGCAAAACATTCTACAATGCACAGGACAGTGCCCATGAATAAAATACTTTGTGAATAAGGATACGTTGTTTGCCATTCAGAACAAAGAATTATCTGGCCCAAGTTTCCACAGAGCCAAGGCTGAGAAACCCTGACCTAGAGATATTCATGCCCCAATATGAGAAATGTGTGTATACATTAAAAGAAAGTGTAAAAGAATAAAGGAACAAAGTGGAAAGAAAAAAATGGAGCCAGGAAAGAAGCTAAAACATATATATTGCAAAACATGTGTCTTTGATAAAGATGAGCTACAGATTTATCTGTAGCTTCCTGGCATCCAGGTAAAAAGATAAAGCAGATAATTGAATCGTGAGCTAACTGAGGGCTGAGTGGCCACCGTGAGAAGTACTGAACTCCTAGAGGAGAGACCGTAGACACAGGATGTCATCCCAACAGCCTATTCCCTGGACTGAGATGCCATACATAGGGAGCACTTTGGAAAGGGAGGAAAATGATTGGTCCTTGAATAAGAACTACTGGGTCAGAGGAGAGATATGGATATTAGCATGAAAAGATAGAACAGTCAATTGATTAGGGATGCTGAGTTTTCAGCCTTGATCGCTCCAGATTCCCTCTCCAGCCTCCTCCACACTGCTCTGTACCCTAGGAGGCAGGCCTCTTAGGATGGTTTTCATGGATTCCCCATGCTCCCTCACTTCTGGTTGATACGGATAATGGCAGATGTCTACAGGAACTCAGCTGTCTACCTGCCAGGCCATGGGTTGGCTATGGCTATATTCCTCTACCAAAGTCCCCAGCTCCTGCCAGGCCCCCCTCACCTACAGCTAAAGTCAAAGCAACATCACTCTGAGGGTGGTGACATTTCCCTACTTTGGTTAGCTCTAAAGTGCATCACCCCTTTGGTGGGTTCCCTGCCCTCATCCTTGTAAATGGTTCCATCTGTTTCCTGTCAGTTCCCTGACTGATTCACCAGATTAAGACTTGAGGGTAAGGAGAGTGACTATATTAACACATCAAAGGAAAGAATGTGAATGTAGTAAAGAGCAGTCAACACCTAAAGCCAGTAAAGGGAAAGCTAGAGGTACAAATAGGAGCATCATATCCCTTGCCCTGCCTGGGACACAGTATTTTACTCCTGGGCCCTGTTAACCTGCAGGACAGGAGAAGGATGGAAGCACAGGCTACCATGGTTTGGTTCTACTAGATTAGCTATCAAGGTCTTCCAACTTGGATTTCTCTTTGATTTCTTTCTAAATTATTTGCCTGTACATGTACATTTACCTACTGGAAGAGATGGGTTGGTTAGTAAGCATCAATATTTGAAAAACTTGTTAGCTATATCCTCACTGTAAACAAAGTATCTTTCCAGTGTTTCCCCTGCCTCTGCAGCTTCAGGTGAACATACATCCTAAAGCTGGTATCACCACTGCTGTGTCTATAGTTCAGGTTTCTGCATCAGCAAGTTCAAAATCATGGTGACATGACAATCCTGCAGTGACCTGGTTCAAGTGTTTCCTACTTCATGGAAACACCCTCTTTATTCATCATAGTAGCTTCAGGACTGACCTTTAGATCAGGGATGCTTTATTTTCCATACACTTACCTTGCCCTAAATCCCTTTGTGACAGACACTGCTTTGCCTACCCAGTATCCCTTCCTTTCTAACATAATCCTGATTAAATGTGCAATGTACCAACTTAAAACATGCCTTTCCAGATTGCCTTAGCTATGTGACCTAGTCCTTCTCAACCACATATAAGCAAATATGGACTCAATACAATTTCCAGGAAAGTTTTTACTTTCCTGATAACAAAAGACTAAATCAGCTGTGCTTATGCCCTCTGCCCACCTTCCCTTGAATGACTGGAGGAGAAGCTCTTTTCTTTCAATCATGAGGGTGAAAACTACAGGCTAATGATAGCAGAGTAGGAAGCTAGGAAGAAGCTCAGGTGCTTGATGACTTTCTTGAGCAGCTGATTAGCCCTGGTTACTGAGTTTACTCTTCTTTTAAAAGCAGAGAAAGAAAACCCTATTCAGATAAGCTTCTAGAGTTGAGTTTCTATGACATGAAGCCAAATGCAGTCTTAACTGATACCCCTTCTTAATCTCAAGTCCCTCATGTCATTCTGTTTAAACATACATGCTAAGAACCTGAAGTCATGCATCCTCTGTTGTATGGGAGTAAGTAGGTTGTTATAAAAATATTTAGTGCAATAAATGGAATGTTTATGTCTCACCAAAATTATGTTGAAATCCTAACCCCCATTGTAATGTTATTATGGGGTCAGGCCTTTGGAAGGTGATTAGTTCTTGAGAATGGAACCCTCATAAATGGAATTAGTGCCCTTATAAAAGGAACCCCATAAGGCTCCCTCCCCCATCCCACCATGTGAAAACATAGCAAGAAGGTGACATCTGCAACCCAAAAGAGAGCCTTCAGCAGAACCTGACCAAGCTGAACCGTGATCTTGGACTTCCAGCCTCCAGAACTGTCAGAAATGAGTGCTTGTTGTACAAGCCACTATGGTATTCTGTTAAAGCAGCACAAATTGACCCAGACACTCAATCTACACCTATGATCCTGGAAACTTGCAAATGAATAGCACTGAATGACCGTATAATGGTGTTGACAGGCCAGGCACGGTGGCTCACGCCTGTAATCCCAGCACTTTGGGAGACCAAGGTGGGCAGATCACGAGGTCAGGAGATCGAGACCATCCTGGCTAACTTGGTGAAACCCTGTATCAACTAAAAATATAAAAAATTAGCCAGGCACGGTGGCGGGTGCCTGTAGTCCCAGCTACTCGGGAGGCTGGGGTAGGAGAATGGCGTGAACCCGGGAGGCGGAGCTTGCAGTGAGCCGAGATAGCGCCACTGCAGTCCAGCCTGGGGGACACAGCAAGACTTCCATCTCAAAAAAAAAAAAAAAAATTGTGTTGACAGAAATAAAAGAACAAAAGATGTATGTTATTATGAAATTATGAAGAATATTATTGACTTCAGTATTGCTACCTCCCCTTGGATATAATAAGGTCACACATAAGAAAACACAGATATAGATAAGCCAGTAAAAACAGTCTGACAAAGTTCCAGGAAATGGCTCTTTCGAAACATGGGACAGCTGCCAAACAAAAAAAAAAAAAGGAAATTAAAATCCTTCAAAACAATTTTATGGATTTAAGCTCTGCAAAAACATTGGGGGAGCATGTGAAATTATATGGAATTATTCTGATACTCAGCCTCTTTTATTGTGCACTTTATGAAAGAATAATCAATAAAACATCTGTCATAATTACATAAAATTTAAAAAGCAGATCCACTTAACGTGGCCAAAATAAACTAAATGTATTTTAAATCCATGTCTCTGAACTGAAGCTACAGGAGTGAGGAGATGTTGAATCCCATTTAATAAAAGGAAATATCTTTTTATACTAGCAATTTGAGAATTTTACCTAAGTAAAAAGAGACTCTAGAATGAATATTAAGCTTACAGTTCTAAAAGCATCCATTTAAATTGATTAGAACACTGGGAAATTACCCACTGGCTAAATAAGATTTCCAGAAGGAATACTATTGAAAATGTTTTTTACATCCCTTAGGAAAAACAGGGAAAATAAACAGAGGGCATATCTCTAATTAACTATATGTACCCCTTGGGTTTCCAAAAACAAGCTCTAATATAATTTGATTCTTTATCCTTACCAATGGGAAGTCAAGCATAAAACCATGTGCAAGCACCGCATGATGTGGCATAGGAAACATTAATCATAGACATTTCTATCACTTTTTGATAGACGAAAATCCATGTTTCTATTAGCAGATACAAATAGATCAGTCTGTGCCCTTATTACTTTTCTAGTTGGTGCCCGAAATCCCTTAAAGATTGACTATTTGGGGTGAAGGTTTTGCGTATTCAGAAGCTCTCTGTTAAAATACAAATTCTTTCAGAGGGCAAACATTAAGCCACATTCAAGGACA